TGTCCAGTTCAGGTCAGATTCAGGGCGATAAAAGGAGCAAAATAAAATCTTTTGGTCTTGAAATGTAGTTACTACCGCAGAAACAACCTCAAGATCAGTTAAGTTGTCGGGTAGAGATAACTTGCTCACTGATTTSAACAAGTCGCTTTAATAGCCTTGGTATTTCATTTTCTGTATGGAACAAAAAGAATGCTGATGGTTCAATAAGTAATATTAAAGATTGTACAAGTTTGCTTGGTTCAGCAAAAAAAATCCTTCTTAATGGTCTGCCTTMAAAATTCCATGAATTTTTATATGAAGATACATGCTCAACAGTAAAGCAGATCTGGGAAGATTTTGAATTCATTTACAATAAAATCWCAGATTTTAATTTGAAAAAGCAAGATAGTGATGATCTTTTTCTCAAATCAAAGACATGGATTAATMTATTTTGTTCGCTGAATGGGAAACRCCATGGATATGATCGAGCAAGAGTCACACCATACATGCATGCCATGAYATATCACATACCATTTTTAGTAAATATGCATGGATGCATGAAAAACTTTACGGACCAAGGTGTTGAGAAGAACAATGATGATGCTAAGAGAGTAATGTTCAACAAGTCCAATAAATGAGACTCTGCTTCTGATATTCTTTTATTAGAAAGTAGACAATGGGACTTGAGGGAGCACGAACGTAGCCATAATAAGTACACAAAAAGAAAATTAGAATGGTGGGGGAGAGATCTCCAAAGCCAGGAAGCAGAGGAGAGATGATTGTCTACACCAAACAGAACTTGAAGAAATTGTGCATGATCCTACTGAGGAATACAAGAGAATGAATGTAAAGGAATTAAGGACAAGATAAGGCAAAAGGAATAAATCACAGGGGCTTGGCTAAGCTTAAGAAAAAACAGTTAATAGAGGTCCTTATTAATTCCGAGCAGTAAGGGCAGTTGAGCAAATACATGTAGAACATGATATAGCCAACTTAAAGTACTGAATTGTATCAATTTTGCCTCTATAAATGCTTTCTATTTTCATGAATACTGTAACTATTTATAAATAGATCATGTTCAAGACATATTTGWAGACTTTTAGTGTATTTACTTTATTTTTAATTCTATTTAGTATTATGTTACATGTCTTGAGTTTGAACTATTTAATATATTTACAGTTTCTTCCATAGTGCGGTTTTATTAACTTGTAAAATGCAGTGTACATCAAATAAAGTGAAATAGTCAGATCAAAACAACAGAAAACAACAAACATTTGCTCAAGCTCTTTTAATTCAGTTTAATGGATTTACTMATACAGTGCAATAACTGCAACTAATGCAAGCTTGTAAAATGTACATTATAAATCCATTAAACTGAATWAAAAGAACATGGATCTTTGATAAAAGAAACTGTTAGTTTCTCCAAGTATGATGATGGTACCTCAGTAAGTTTGCTCCCATCTAAAAAGAAATTTTTTGGTGCACGGCTTAAAAACCATCGTAACTTTACAGGGAACTTTATCCTATAGCCATCACCATGCTGGTTATAGATAGCATCCCAGTCATCAGGTAGATAGTCTTTTAGTTCATCAAGATTATTACAAGTCCCAAGTCTCTGACAGTGTCCATTTTCACCAAACAAAAATCTGTAAAYGTCACTTCTAAACTCTATTGTAAACTGCTGCAATATTGCTTTGGCACGTAAGCATTCCATGACACCTCTTCTTAAACGATCAAGACATTGTTGTATGAGTTTCTTTGGAGGATTTGGATTATCATAGGAACTGAATATACAACAAAAGTTATTTATTAGGGAGTCAATCAATACACGATTCATTAATAAGAAGTAAACAATTTGGAGAATTCTACTTTATATTCTGAATGGATTTGGTAATTAAGATTAGATTGTCTGATGTTTTTCTTAAGTTGTTTGTAGTTTAAGCTCCTCTTATAGGATCAAATACTTTGCTCCAGAATATAACATCAAAGCGAAGGTGAGAGACCCTTCTGGGTGTTTGGTCTGGGATATTGAAGCACTAGATAGATGAATTTGTGTTATGGGAATGATTTAAGCTTAAGCTTACAATAATGCAATGTTTGATATAAGCTTACTTAACTTACTTGAGTAAAACCGTCGTAAGATGGTGCTCTGGTTCCCACGTATTATAGAAGGAGCTATAATCCTTCCATTTTAGGATACCGATTTCCCTAAGGATTGGATCAATAAAGGTCAAGCTTAACTTAACTTTTATATAAGCTTAAACTTAAGTTAAAGTCAAACAAATAACAGCAGAGTAAACATTGAAGATGGTTGAAATAAAAGTATTCTTACCTCGCTACTTTTACGACGAGCAACCACACGCTCTACTATAAAAACTCCAACTGTTTTGAAGCTTTTGATCTTTGTTTTTTTATCGTCAAAAAGTACTTTGTTCTCGTAGGACGGACGTTTTTCCCTTACTCGTAAAGTCGGCGCCATTTTGTATTTTATGCATAACCCCTGCCATTGTACCGCGGGCCCGTCAATATCTGAGCAATGTTTCTGGTTATACCGGATTGGTGTTCTTGAAAACGAACAAACATTAGCAAAAATTCCGTGGTTTATGATTATCGCCAGCGTCTCTACAAGATTTGAAGCCTGATATTTAAGGTTGGAGGTTACGACATCGAACCTCATGTAATGAATTAGTAATAATATCAAAACAAAACATAATTTAATAACGCTTTGGCAAAACTATGAAATAAGCAAATTAAAGTAAAAGGTAGCATAGAATCCCTTTCCTTATATAAGAATGATATATCTGATTCTCTAGGAGCTTGTCCAATGCATTCTCAATCGTTTTCCAATCTCTATTTCAACGTCCAATTTGATATTGCTTTTAGGGTGATTTGTCTGGCTTCTCCGGAGTTCTACCTTTTAGCCATTACTTTGAAGCCGTTTTCTGCTCGTTTGACAAATTCCTATTGAAACGCGCCCGCTATGCGATAATTTGCATTGTATTTTCTCCCTGGCACAGGGAATCTGAACGCCTCCAACATGGTTATTGAGAATAATTATTTGACCATGAAAATTCTTAGATTGTTTAGTAGATCATGCATTGCTGCTTGGGGCAGTGGTAGCTTTCTATATTTCCCGTGCTCGAGGTAATTGTGAACAAAAATGTCATCAAGGTATTTCTAGTACGCCTAGATTATTAACACGTCAACAAATCAAATTTTATAAAAAATGTGAAAAATGTAAACAAAAATTAACAAATGTCAAGGATACGGTTCAAAAATTAATAAGATATGTAATTAGATGAGATTGAATTAGCACCTAACTATCATCACGCTTGTC